TGGGGGTGGGGGGAACCCAGGGCTGGGCTAGCAGGGGCTGTGGGTCGGGACTGAGGGGCACCGGCAGAGCTGGGGGTTGGGGGAGCCCAGGGCTGGGGTAGCAGGGGGCTGCGTGTTGGGAGTGAGGGGCACAGGTAGAGCTTGCAGGAGGAGGGCTAGGATAACGGGGGTGCAGGTTGGGAGTGAGAGGCACCAGTAAGCTTGGGGGGGCAGGGCTAGGGTAACAGGGGCTGCGGGTCGGAAGTGAGGGGTGCCGGCAGAATGGGGGTGCTGCGGGGTCCAGGCAGAGGCAGGCCCCAGGGGTGCTGACATGTAGTGGCTGTGGGGCATGCAGGCTGGAATGTTCTCTGCTCTGTGGGGAGTGGCGGGGGGGAGGAGGGTGGCGTGCAGCATTGGGGGGGCCAAGGCGTAACTCGGGGTTACGGGTGCCCAGTGCCAGGGATTAGGCTGGCAACTGCAAATCCCCTGAGTTAACCCTTTATTGACTGCAGCCAAAGCAGGGACAGAGGGGAGGTGGGTAATTACACCCCCTCCCCCATATCTCAGAAGGGGGTCCTCTATCTGGGGGGCGGTGGTAGAGACCACAGAGATCCCCACTCCCCTTCCCATCCATATGTCACTGCTGGCAGGTTAGAGCAGGGGGCTGGGAGCCAGGACTCCTGGGTTCTCTCCCGGCTCTGGCAGGGGAGTGGGGTGCAATGGTTGGAGTGGGGGGGCACAGATGTGTAGCTGCAGGCTGAGTAGTGCTGGGCGGGGAGATGAGGGGAAGCCACCCCTACCCCCCCAAGCGCAGAGGGAGCAGAACCCCGGGCAAGGCTGGTCGGACTCAGGCTAGGGCCAGGGTCCTCTCTCCTGCCCCCTCCTCCCACCCTGGGGTCTCCTGGCTTGGGGTGGGGGGCAGGGTTATCATCTGCAAACACTGCCTGGCAGGCGTGGGGGGGGGGGGCACAAGGCCACATCTCTATGGTAACAGACCTTTGGCCCCCAGCAGACCCACCAGGCCGGGGCTGGGTGTGAATGACCCTGGCCCTGCCCCCAACCCTGCCATGGATTGTACCCCTGCCATAGCCCCACCCCCAGTACCTTCCATCCCATCCCTCCAGACTCCCCCCATCCCTGCCACAGCTCCACCCTGCCCCCCACTGCCTCACCCACCAGCCCTGTTTCTCCCCCCCAGTACCTCTCCCCCCACCCCTTTCATGGCCCCACCCTACCCCCTGTGTCCCCCAGCCCTGCTCCCCAGTACCCCACTCCCACTACCTCCCACCCTGGCCCTGCCGCGGCCCCACCCACCAGCCCTGTTTCTCCCCCCGCACTACCTCTCACCCCAGCCCCTGCCCCCTGTACCTCCCCACCCCTTCCATGGCCCCATCCCACCCCCAGTGTCCCCCCACCGCAGCCCTGCCCCCCAAAACCGCACCCCCACTACCTCCCACCCTGGCCTGGCCTGGCCCGGCCCCACTCTGTCCCTGCCCCTCAATACACCCCCACCCCTGCCACAGCCCCACCCCCCAGTACCTCCCATCCCGGCCCTGCCCCCCAGTAAATCCCCACCCGGGTCCCTCCCCACGCGTCATGGCCTCACTGTGCCCCCTCCGCCCCCATGATCCACAGTCCCTCCCTTTGCTTCCCCCCTCCTGTGCCCTGCCAGGGCCTCACCCTCCCCTCTCGTCCCTCCCTGGCTGTTCCTGTGTTCCCCTCCCTTCTCCTGACCCTCTGTCCCTTGGTGTCTCAGCAGGACAGACATGGGGACACGGATCCTGCTGCTGTTCTGCTGGGCCCTGCTGGGAGCAGCCAGCGCTGGTGAGTGCCGGGGGCACGAGAACGCAGCGGAGCTCCCAGAACCCGGACCCCAGCCCCAGGGCCAATGGCATGTCATTGGGGACATCAGGCTGCCAACCCTCCAGGATTGTTCTGGAGCCAGGCATTAAAGATAATGTCATGTGATGAAACTTCCAGGAATTCATCCAACCAGAGTTGGCAACCCTATGGGAGAGAACCCAGGAGTCCTGGCTCCCAGCCCCCTGCTCTAACCACTAGACCCCTCTCCCCTTGAGGACGGCACCCAGGATAGCTCCAGCCCCGGTGGATCAGGAACTCGAGGTGCAGGGGTGTGGCCACACCCTGACTTGCAGTGGTTTCCCTCATGCACAGGATTTGCAGTTTGGTTCAGGCCCCCCCCCCCGTCCCCGCCCCATCCAGCGCTGCTGGGCTCCAGCTGCTCCCTGGGCCCTCAGTGCTCGGACATCACTGCTGCCCCCTCCCCCCACAGGCTGTGCCCGCCTCGCCCCCTTCTCCCAGGCTCTGGGTCACTGGGAGGGGCTGGGGCTTTTGTGCACCAACCAGCTCGCAGCTTGGAGGGAGCCCAAATTACAGAGATTCAAAAAGCTCCATCCACCCACTCAGCGGGGGGTGGGGGGGGACATGGGAAGCCGCCAGTGTGGGGAGCACAGCCTGGGAGAGCCAGCAGCGCGGGGGTGGGAGGGAGTGTGGAATCCCAGCAGTGTGGGAGGGGGCAGTGGGGCGAGCGGGGAGGGGGGGTAGGAAGTCCCAGCAGTGCGGGAGGGGACATGGGGGGAAATCCCAGCAGTGGGGGAGGGGGCAGCAGGGCCCGTGGGGAGGGAGGAGTCAAAGAAGTGGGAAGTCC